GCGATTGAATCGACGATTTACAAATCTGTCGCACATCCCGTCGCGCCACTCGCCTATCCACCACATGATGATGTCATACGCGCCGCGAAGCTGCTGCGTACAGCGAAGCGTCCGCTGGTGATCATTGGCAAGGGCGCCGCCTATGCTCATGCCGAGAACACTTTGCGACATTTCATTGAGAACACAAATCTACCGTTCCTGCCCACGCCCATGGGTAAGGGGGTGGTCTCTGACACGGCTGCTCAGTGCGTCGCCTCGGCTCGCACCCTGGCGCTCCAGAAAGCGGATGTGATATTACTGCTGGGCGCTCGGCTCAATTGGATTTTGCACTTTGGTCGCCCGCCACGCTACGACAAGGATGTGAAATTCATACAGGTAGACATTTGCCCGGAGGAGCTGAACAACTCGGTGGTTGCAGCGGTGGCCATCCAGTCGGACATTCGCCCCTTTGCCGAGCAGCTGTTCGAGCAAATGAACGCGGTTAACTTCCGCTTTGGCTACGAGCAGGAGTGGTGGAAGCAGCTGGTGGCCAAGTGCAAACAGAATCGCGATACAGTTGCGCAGATGTCGCTGAATACAACGACGCCACTGAACTACTATGCGGTCTTCCATCATCTACGCGAGCTGCTGCCACGTGATACAATTATTGTTAGTGAGGGCGCCAATACGATGGATATTGGTCGTTCGATGTTGCTCAACGAGCAGCCGCGTCATCGCCTCGATGCTGGGACCTTTGGCACTATGGGAGTCGGGCCCGGCTTTGCGGTCGCCGCCGCTCTCTATTGCCGCGACTTTGCGCCGGGCAAGCGTGTCCTCTGTGTGGAGGGCGACAGTGCCTTTGGCTTCTCTGGCATGGAAATCGAGACAATGGTGCGCTACAAGCTGCCCATTACCATTATGATTGTGAACAACAATGGCATTTACGGCGGGTTCGACAAGGACACATTTGAGGCAATACGCAGTGAGGGCGACTTGGCGAAAATGTAAGATTCGCATCTTATCTTCCGTTAAATAACTCGCAGCTAATCTTATCATGTTTGCTTTTGATTCTAGCACACCGCCATCAGCGCTGGGCGTGCAGGTGCGCTACGAGGAGATGATGAAAATGTTTGGCATGAAGGGCTATTTCTGCACTGAGATCGAAGAGTTGCAGGCGGCCGTAAAGGCGGCCAACCAGCTGACGGATAGGCCTACCATCATAAATGTGGCTATCAGTCCCTCCTCTGATCGCAAGCCACAATCGTTCAACTGGCTCACAGAGTCCAAACTATAAAACAAAGCACATTGATTAAGCCGTATATATGTGTGTAGTTGTTTATGGTTTTTATAAGCAGCAACGTTTACAACTTAGTTTATAAGCATAAAGTTCCGCGCATTCCTTCAAATTCTTATTTTCAAATATGCATTATCTCACCATATTTTCTTTGTATATACACAACATGCAACAATTTTTATAAAACCAACGATTGTAGAATTTCAAACGCAATGTTTCAATTGTAGTAGTTAGTTAGTATATAGTACATATATCGATTTTATCCGGTTCGGGCCTAGATACAATATAGCTAATTTAAAAACAATGTGAGTTTTTGCAAAAGCTTATTGATTTCTTCTTGTGTATATACTTTTCCGATTAAAACTATATATAATATGAACACTGTCAAGTAGCACTCATAGAAACCATTGCATTGTATTGAGTAGTCAAATGTTTGCAAATGTATTTCAAGATTCGTGTTGAATGAATTAAATTACATTTAAGCATTTATCAAGAGATTCTACGTTAAATCGAAAAATTATAATTATCTAATATTGAAGTATAGCTAATAGATTTTCGATTTGCCGCAGCTGCTCGTCTTAAAAGCTCGCTGCATTCATTGGTTATCAATCTCAACGATTGTCACGGACCATCTCATCCTCCAATCCCAAATACTGCAAAAACCAATTGAAGTCCACCAGGCGCCCCTTGTGCAGAAAGGGCAGTTTTGGACACAGCTCGAAGGCTATGTTGATGGGTGCTATGTCGGGCACCTGGTCGGCAGCCATGTTGAAGAACGTGAGCACATCGCGCATCTCAATCTCGCCCTGCTCGTTGCGGTGCAGCACCTGCAGTATGTCCTCCACCAGCTCCAGGCTGAACGGCAGGCGACAGCCGCGCAGCGTGGATCTCACTTGCGCCTCAGTTATGTACGGCTTGCAGGTGGGATTTATGTGACTCAAGTGCTCCATGATCTCATCCACATTGTTCCACAGCGCACGTTTCAGTTCCAGTTGGGCAGCGGCGCGCACGTGATTGCGATCGCAGCTGGGCGGCGGCATCTGCTCCGACGAGAAGTAGCGACACACCGTAACAATCTCATGATTCCGCAGCGTTTCCTTAGGGAGAAACGCGAGCAGGGTGGACTTCAGCGTATCGAAGCTGACGGTGGTGCCTTCGCGCAGATCAGCATTCGGCTGGCAGCGCAGCACAAACTGTTTGTAATGCGGACGCACTGCATCACGGATCTTCTGCATAATCGCACGTATGTCCGCCACGGGAAACTGAAAACGAAAGACAAGAAATGCGAATGGGAGTAAAATCCAATACGGAATTAGCTCACCTCATTGGCATGCTGTTCCATGTAGAGCAGCGTAAACTCATCTGCTGAATTGATGTGGAAGATGTGATCCTTGAGGCTCAGTGTGGCACCGATGTAGAAGTCATTAGCGCGATAGTATTCCGGTCTGTTTGAGCTGAACTTCTCCTGGCCGGGCAGCTCGACACGCGCTCGCTTCAGAAACTCTCCGCCCATGAAGCCGGAATTGCGCCGGGCCACCTCATAGATCTGGATGGTGTCATCCGCTAGAAAATAGCTAATCACAAAGCTGCGCTCGCAGTTCTCCCGAATGATTGACATCATTTTGGCACCAAAGCGTAGAATGCATCCGTCGTACTTCATCAGCTTCTTAAAGTCCGCCTGCGGCGGCTTGGGCTCCACGGTGATGCAGTTGCCCTCCGAATCCTCATAGCTGCCCCAGCCATTGTAAGGCGGCAGACGCCGCATCTTGCCCTGGCTTAGGACGCGCTCATCGCTGGATTCCGGCAGAGGCTGAGGTGTAAAGTCTTGAATGCCGTACTGGGCAAAGAATTCTCATATGAGCAATGGAGTTGGAGATATCTTCTGCATAACTGAGGAAAAACAACCAACCTTCTCTCTGTAATATTGCTGGGTGAACTGATCGCAGCTGGTGAGCACCACATCGCGTCCGAAGACATTCAGCACGGCGCCGATTCGCAAGTCCTGGTCCGTGTAGTAGACAGTCTGCTTCTGGCCAGTGTTTAGGGGATCTGCCACGTAGCGCACGTCGCGCATATTGGAGCCGAGGACATTCAGCAATGTGATCGCTGTTTGCTGACCCGGCAGCGAGAGACCCGTAAACTCCTTGGGCAGCTTGCCCCGCTTTAGAAATGTGTTGGTTCCCTCACGGCCGGAGTTGCGTGGAAATTTCTCTTTAATGTCTATGGTATCGTCGGCTAGATAATAACAGACGTCCAGCCGCCGGACATCGCCGAACTCCGATCGATCGTTCCAGTAGCCCTGAAACTTGAGCACACGTCGATCGAACTCCAGGAATTGAGCGAATGCATGCCGCTTGGGCACGGCGCTCGTTGCTGGACGAGTCGTTTGCCTGATGGCGGATTTTTTGCGCAGCTCCGTGGTGGGATCACTGCAAGAGAGAAGAAGAGAAATTAGCTGATCTCTGATCAAATTGGCAAGTCTAGTGTGGCTACTTGGGCTCCATCAGCGCGACGGGCACTGCGATGCCGGCGCGACTAAGAAACTGTCTCGTGAAGATGTCGCAGCCGGTTATGTGATAGACCCGGTCGAAGATCTGCACATTGGTGTCCACATTGAGATCGAATATGGAGATGAACTCGTGCTCGCTGGGCGGCCCTTTGGGTATGCGCTGTCGGTGCACGAGGCAGCCCTGCGGTATGCCCGAGTTCTCCACCTTGGGCTCGGTGACTTGCATGGTGCCATCCTCCAGGTAGAAGTAGATTTTCACCTTGCGCACCTGGTAGGGCGCGTGATAGATCTCGGTGAGCGGCTCCTTGAAGTACGCATTGAAGCACAGCACCTGCTTATCGTAGGCGAGCCAAGGCGGCAGCTTGGTCGTCACCCTGGGTGGACTCATCAAAGTCAGCTCTGTGCTGGGTGGAGGACATTTGGGATCCACTAGCGGTCCATTCGGCTCCACCAACTCCGGTTCGCGCCGATCCGAGAGCATGTGTATGCCCTGGTAGTGCATCAAGGTCTGGCGACGCGGATGACGGCGTTTGGTATACTACGAAGAACGGAAGAGGAGAGTGGGTGGGGGATATGTCACCTAGTATGTGTGTGTGTGAGCGTGTATGCATGAAACCAGTTGGCTACTCACATCGTAGAACTGCGCACCTGGCAGCATTGGCATTCCAGGCAAACGTATCATCATAAAGGTCAATTTTTGCCAACTCCTCGAAGTTTAGAAATTTGAATATATAATTTTGATTTTTTGCCAAATCTTGTTGCCGGATTGTTGCGAATTAGAATTTTGTAGCACTCGAGTTTTAGCTGCCCAACTGTTTCGACATTTTCTTCTTGACTGTCTCTCTGCCTCTCTAATAAATGGAACAAACAGCTCTATGGCAATGCCATCGAATGCCATGGCAGCAGCTGAGGCAGCAACTGGTTGCAGCAACGCGCGTAGTCAGGGAGTTTCATTTGGCTGTAGTTGCAGTTGGGTGAAGGGGTTTCTGTTGCACGAAACATTTGCCTGGGAAAGGTTGCAAAACGAAACGATTGTTTTTATGCCATAAATCCATTGAAATTGGTTTATTAAGAATGTTTGTAGTAGCCTTGGGCAAAACGAAGAGTTGAGTTCAATTGTAAATATGGAATTTTAAACGGTATGCAATCGGATTTTGGATACCTTGCCACCTATGCAGAAAATCAAATAGTGGAGATCTAAATGATTGATTGAGCATCATTTCGGAAGATTCACGGTAGCTCTTAGTAGGAAAATCCCGGCTAAAGTACTCTTACATCTTTCTCGTATTTCGGTGGAATTAAATGGAAAGTCTAGCATAATATAGGTGAGTGGTTGGATAATTTGTACAGACTTATTTATATCTTACCATTATATATACCATTACAAATTATATTATATCAACCATTTGTGTATTATATTCTCTCTATGGGAACTTTGAAGTAATTTTGTTCTATATCTTTTAAGCTCATTATATCATTGTATTCGTTTGATACAATGATCGGACAAAACAATATACATATATTATAGTTCTATAATAAAATTTACACTGAATAATTAAATGATCTAGTCATTCTAATGAATGGTAATTAAATGTATTCCTTATATACTACAATTCTGCATGGGCTAAAGAAGAAATTAGCTTGAGTATTTAATTTAACTAATGGAATTTAGCTTGACAACTTTTAGCCTGTAGAATAGAGATATAAGATATGTAAAATATATGCGTAGGCCTAAATGTCTTTCAATTCACATATATTTAGACGCTGTCTACTAACTCCCAGTCAAATTATCCATTGTATTGTATCGTTCCACATGTCTTGAGTTGCATTAGAAAGAAATGAGAATGCATCTTGGGTCTCAAGTTTCATTATGTTGTTAGTAGATGTTTAAGGCAAGGTCGAAATGTTAATTACTTGACTTACCGTTAAGTTTTATAGACTTTCCGTTATCTGAATACTGCGTATAGCACCAGTCAATGCGTATACGTGCTAATTGAGGCAACAGGTAAATGTAGGAAACCTGCCAAAGCACGTGAACTTTTCTCGCACCTCGCACTCGAGATTGTCACGGGAACAGGTCTTCAGAGATGCAATCGAAAGCGTCGAAACATAAACAGCCTAACGCTCGACCGGAGAGCACGAGACGAGCGCACAAAATGAACATAATGTGCGTTTAGTAAATTCCCATAGTTAAATGGCTCAATTAAAATTAACTAGTTAACCTGTATTTTAGGGGCTTGCTCGTAATATTGCTGCTGGCGCTGGACGCTGTGCAGGCAGTGGATGTTAATTTGACCACTTGGCGTCAGCATCGCAGGCAGAAGCGTTTTCTGATCTACGAGGATGGTGGCATTATAAAGGTATTCCCATCTGACCTACTTACGCGGCGAAGGAAGTTCGTTTGACCTTTGACACTTTGCAGCTGGTAACCGGCATCGCATTTCCTGTGAACTTGGACGAAAAGCACGCCTGGCGTCAGCTGATCTGCCTGATGAACTTTCACTATCAATTCCCAGAGCCAACTTCTCCCATCTACTGGTGGCAGCTGTGGAGACATCGCAAAGGTCGCAGAGATCACAGAGATCACAGTGATCTTAAGGGTCCCCTTCAATTAACCAAAGAGCAGCAGCGGCAGCAGAATGCTTCTCATGCGCCCCAAGTGGATGCAGCACAACAGTTTCTATACGAGCTCGCCTTAAAGTACATGAATCAACGCGGCCAAGATGGCAAAGCCTGCCTCCAGCGTTTGATTTGCGAGAACGGACAGGTGCACGAGCACAATGGGCTCTATGCGCAGCTGCTGCACCGCTTGCTCAAGTGAGTAGCTATATGAATGGTTTAACTATCTATATATGTCTATGTAACTCTATCCTGTGCAGACCCCACAGATCTCTGCCCAAACATTATCTGGATGCCTACAGCATGGGCAGGCACGGCGTCAACTGTCGCCAGGCGTTTCCCACAGCTGTGCACTGCGTGCTGGATGATTATGTGCATGTCCATGAGCGTGGCCTGACGCAGAGCTATGTCTAGGGTCGTAATTCGGAACCCTGCCAAAGACATTCGCATATGTAGTAGGCGCTGGTTGCCCGTTGGCTAGGGATAGACACTTTAATGAGCACTCAATTAAAGCTTAGGCATTTGAGTAACAATTATAAAACTAAGGTCTAATTAAAGCAATGCTAATTTGTTGTACAAGCATTCGTGAAGCTCACGCCAGCCCCACTTAACTCTGTCTTGTCTTGTCATTATCACCATTATTATCATCATCATCATCGAGATCGTCATCGTCGCAAACTTTCCAGTCGACTTGATAATATTTCTTCATATTGCCCGAGAGCCATTGCAGTGCGCAGTACTGCGTGCAAAAATTACAAGTGAATAATTGCTTCGAGGCGCTGCCACGTCTGCAAAGAAACAAAAGAATTGCAATGTTTATATATATACTGTATATAAAGTGAAGAAATCAGGATGTTGAAACAGACGAATGGACAGGTAAGTGATTAAAACTGGAAAATTCTGTTGCTTGACTCAACTCTACAAAGATAACTTCTAGGCATTTGTATTCGAATGGGATTTGACAAGGAATTGTGGGGGTTTTTGATCTTGTCTCATCAATTCCTGATCGTAGAATAATAAAATCTAAAATTTTATATTCAATCGAATCTCCATAATTCATTAATTCCTTGCAATTTTTAACTGCCGGGATTCCATTGTACTTTCAATTAGCAGAAGTACAACAAAGATAATAAGAAATAAGATGTAAATATAAATAATATCTATCTATCTATCAGTTGCATGCATTTAATTTTACAATACCTTACGAACCACAGCTAGGCTATACTATCCTTAATACATTTATAATATGTCATGATAGATTATTGCCGCACATAAAGTAAACACAATAGTTCTATGGATCCCAGTCGCGATATCTCTAAGACTGAAACCGGTTTCATCTCATTTTGTTTTTCGCACAGCGCTAAACGAATCTCTGAAGAATAATGGCGGCCATCGTTGGTCTTACCGTTTGACGACCATAAAGTAGTAGGTTGTATAGAGGCAACTGGAGCAGTTGGTGGTGGTGCAGCGAGCGATGGGTCCATTGTTGATGTGGCCACTCATGTACGGCTCGGGCAGCATGCGATGCAGTGCAGCATTCTCATAGACAGGCACGTGGCGATTCAGCGTCTGCAGCGCATGCAAGCAATCATCGTAGAGTGTGACCCGATTCTCCGCCGAGGGCACGGCATAAATCTTGCGTGTACCTACTGGGAGCAGCAGAAGTTTGTTTGTCTCCAATTCCCGTACCCAGAAAAATCCTTTCTTTGCGATGGGGCTGCAGAAGAGAAATCGTTCATTAATGGAAGAACTTAATTGTCAAAGTGGAGAAAAAATAAAAAAAATAATAATAAAAATAAATTAAAAATAAAATTCTATATAATATTTAAATTTGCTATATATTATGTACATACATATATATGTAGATATGCATATATGTATGTAAAAATTGACTTGACTAGAATTCTAAAATTCAATTAGGAGCTCTGACTTGATCCAATGATAGGGATAAATGCACTAAAATATATATATATAAAATATATTATATTTAAAATTTGTCCAAGATTCTAACTCAGGGCACAAAAAATATATTATAAAATATTATATATATTTTTTTCTCCGCGTTGGAGCTGCAACAGGTTTTATTTTCGGAATACATTATCAAAGTGCAGCAAAATATAAAATTTTATAAAATGAATTAGCAGGAATATTTGGGTAGAAATTATATTCTCAATTCTGTTCAGATTCTCAACTTGCTCAATCGAAAATCGATTTAAAGTTAATATAACATATATGGCTAATATTCGTGGCCTATATCAATAATGTAGTGTATGTATTAAATTGATTGTAAATTAATCTCTTAAATGCACTTACAAGCTTTAATTTGATTCAATTTAAAGATAAATATATTTTGCAAAAAAATATATAATATGCATGTTTTATTTTGATTTAATGATAGGATAAACAATTTTTAAAAATGCATAAAAAATTTTGTTATTTAAAATAATAGTTGTTGATTGCACTCACATGGGCGTCACTTTCTGTCTGTTATCATAGAAATTCTGATAGAAACGCTCGTAGATCATGGGGATATAGTTGACTGAGGTGTTGTGAAAGATGCGCACATGGTTCATGAACTTGGAGAGCGCTGCCGGCAGATAAATAAGAGCGCAGCCTGCAACAGACAAAGAAGAGAGTGAGAGAGTGAGAGAGAGAGAGAGAGAGAGAGTGAGTAGAATTATATTAATCTTTCAATTATATATTTACGATCGGCGTGGAGGGATTGCAGCATAGGAAGATTCGCAATGCGCTCGGGCAGATGCAGCAGCGCCTCGTTGTCGCTCACGTTCAGCTCGTTGAGGCGCACGCATTCGCTCAGCTGTATGGGCAAACGACGGAATTGATTTTTGGCTATATTCAGCTGCTCCAAATTGCGCAAGGTGTTTAGCTCTGAGGAAGACAGTGGGCATCTACAGTGTGAACGCGGTCAAGGCCAGGCGGCGTGGTTCGCTTACCCACAGGCAGTTCGGTCAGCTGATTGCCGCTGACGTTCAGCTGTTGGAGGCGCAGCAGCAAGCCCAGTGTCTTGGGCAGCTCTCTGAGCTCATTGTTGGACACATCCAAGAACTCCAGGTTCTCCAGCATATATATGTCCACTGGCAGCTCGCTCAGGTTGTTGCCAGCCAAGTGGATGAACTTGAGTGTGGTTATATTCAGCAGCCATTTGGGTATTGCAGATATATAGTTCTCTTTCAAGTAGACCTCCTCGAGGTCCTCATACAAGAACAAGTCCATGGGCACATCTTTGAAGTTCAAGTAGCTCCAGTGCAGTATGGTCTTATTCATTGCGTGGCGGATGGATTACACAATTTTTGTACGATACTCATTTAATTGAAACGGACGTTTTTTTGATTGTTTGTTTGGTTTGGCACCACTCAAATACACTCAAATATATACATATATACATATATTTTTATTTAGTGTAAATAGCTGTATTTATTTTCTACGCGGTCATGATCAAAATTTGGCATGCGGCGCCTTCACTGTCAACCACGAAACTGGGCGCCTCACCAAACAAACAGCAACAGTTTGCTCTGGTCGTCCAAGAGGAATCTTTTTTTACTTTTGTCTTTCGGCAAGATGCTCGTGAGTGTATTAGAAATTTCTCAGTTTCTCATTTGATAGTAGCGAGCACAGCTCTATAGTCACATATAGTTTTCTTGGATTCATATATTTTCTATTTCACTATATAATTGGTTATTTGGTAGGCTTGCTGGCGTATACGTAATGTGCCGCCTGAGAGTATGCAAAAGCAAAAGCTTGGTCGACATTGACATTGAATGTTGCCCAGTGCAATGCAAGCGACTGCATTGATTGTTGTTGTCGCCTCCTCAAGGTCGTTGCGACAGCGAAGTGGGCGTGGGCTTTGCTAAGCGTCAGCTTTTTGTGCTGAAAGTTCAGTCCGCTGCGTAGCTGTGCTAAAGCTCGAGCAGAGCTGCGAATGCGAAAAGCTTGGCCTACGCAAAGCTCAACCAAGTTCAAAAGCTCATTTTAGATGGTTGCAAACTAAGCTTATAGGTGTAGTTTCACAAAGCTAACGAGTTTATTCGGAGAAATTATATTCTTAAAGGTTGAAGGGATGCGAGCTCGAGAGCTGATTTGACATCTGGTCTAAAGGTTTTAGTTTTACCTTAAACTTAATCACAATGTGTAAAGTAATTATTGTAAATCATATTAATAATGTATTATTTACCTATCATCTATTACCTATTAAATATCAACTTTAGTTACAGTTTAACTATTATATATAGACAAGTTACAGTATCCAATCTAAGTAGATTTCAAATTTACATGAATATGATGAATTTTCTAATATTATTTTATTATATATTATTATATTATTATAATATATTATTTAGTTATTTATATACATTTAAATAGGTTTCAATATCAACTCTAAGTAAATTTCAGATTTACATAGGTTAATCAATTTTCCATTCTGTCTAAGTTTATATATAATATATAAATTCGTCTGGCAATATATATTATTAATCTATTATATGTTTGAGTATCAACAAGCGATATTCAGCCATAAACGTATTTGTTTATTTTGTTTTGTTCATGTTGTTTGTTTTCAACCTTTCCACGCGAATTCTTTAAACAATTTTTACACACACATCCAAACACACACATAAATAGCCCGAATTTAAAGACTCAAATAAAACGCAATTCAATGTTCTTAAAATAAATTAAATCAAATTTTGCAAATTTATTTCGACTAGTTTTGACAGTTTTTGCTCGGGCTAAGCGATTCACCAATAGATTCCTGAGAAATCGTGATCGTAGGGCGAATAATGACGATAGCTGCTATAGGGCGATGAATGATGGTGATGATGATGATGATGGGAATAAGGACTACTATAGTAATACGGCGACGAATATCCATAGTACGGCGCAGAAATTGCTATGGGCACAGGCAGGCCAATGCTGATAATTGGTGTCGCTTCCAGTGGGGCCATCCAAAGGCCCATGAATGTGAAAATAATTGCCAAGACTTTCATATTTCGTCGAGCTGCTAATGTAAACTGAGCGCAGTTAAATGCCAACAGCTCTCTTATAAGTATGTCAAGCTTAGATTGACGATGAATGTGCAAAAAGTCAATTTCTCCAAAAATTAGCAACTCGTCTATGTTTTTCCCCGTAGGCTAGAAAAAATAGGCTGAAAATTGATTTTGTAAATATTTGGTTTATTCGTTTTTTTCCTTTTTTCTCAAATTATTATCAGCTAATAAAGCTCTACACCGTTTATCACAAGTTGCAGGTTTTTTTTTTTTTTTTTTTCTCATTTGTGAGAGGGCGTGGTTTTACGCACCCGCCCTAACGTTCACCGTCAGCTGTTTGAAATCGCGATCGCTGAGCAAATTCCATTTATAGCCCAAGATCTGTGAGATTTCACGTTCGACCGCCTCATAGGAGCGCGAGTTGCGCCTCAGCCACAAGTGGAACTCGTCGCTCCACTCTGGATGCCGCGGCCAGTCGCACCGTAAGATGACAGCGAAACGCCGTACGTGCAGCTTCTGCAGATTCTTGGCTGTGCGTGCTAGCAGCAGCAAAGTCGATGTGGATACCTTTTCGCGTATGACCTGGTAAAGAGAGAAAGAGGGTAAGCGTGAGAGAGGTGACTAAATGAAAAGTGAACATGTATACAAGTAGGTAAGACTTTGTTTGTGTAATACGTTCTCTCTTAAATTTAAAGGTAAAAATTCGTCTGCTAAGCGAGTAAAGCTAATAGCTTCTGGAGTCTCAATGAAGTACTTAAAATTAGCTAAAGTCCTGAAGTTCTTATTAATTATGTTGATTATTTGATTTCAATTACAAATCTATATAAATTAAAATAAATATGTATTATTATTAAATCATATGTACAAAAAAAAAAAAAAATTAAAAAGAATATATAAATAAATAAAAAATAAATCAAAATCTATATAAATTAAAATAAATATGTATTACTATTAAATAGTATATACAAAAAAAAAAAAAAAAAAAAAAAAAAAATAAATAAATAAAAAATAATTAAAAAAAATAAATAAAAAGAAAACTACTACGTTTGCGAATATTTGTTAATCATATCGAATCCGCTAATCAATCACGGAAATAAAACGATTCAAACCCGATATTTTAAATAGATTTTAAGCTTTTGTGACCAAAATCTTATTAGCATTTGCTGCTAAGGCCTACATCCCCAGTCTCTCAGTTAGTAAATATAGTATATACATATATAGAATATTTATAAATACCAATGTGTCCAGATTGAAGCACTGCCTGCACATCAACAAGAGCACACTGTCGACGCGACTGTCGAAGGGTTTCGGGCTGCTGAAGCGTGGCAGGAGCTCATGGCCGTAGACGGCCAAGGTATTCTTGTAGTGGTCCACCATGCGGAGGAGCAGCTCGGTGCGGATGCGCGCCTGTGGTGCCCAATAGGTGATGCTGTGCACCGGCGCCTCTGGCTGGAGCACCACATCGCCATCCACCATATTCTCGACGCGCAGATGAACCCTCAGCCGTGGATTCGTGGCCTTCAGACTGCGCCAGGCCTTGACGCCGCAGGCGCTGATACTCAAATGGTTGGGCGTATAGCAATTTTGCAGCAAGTGCAAGTGCCGCAGCTTGGTGTCGGCCAACAGGGACAAGACATCGTCGTCGATGTTCTGCGGCGATATCGTGAGCTCGCGCAAATTGAGAAACAGGCCCACATGCATGATGGGGCAATGCATTGTCGTCACATTCACCAGGTTGAGCACGCGCATTTTGGTGCAGCAGCTGCAGACGACCTCGTCCAGCAAATGGTTCGCCTCGAAGCGCTCCAGCACAAAGTCAATGAGCTTCAGTGTGTGCAGATCGGGCAGGCGCAGCATCAGCTCCTTGAGGCCCTTCAGCAGCTGGCCGCCGGTGCCGAACAGCTTGATGCCCTCGGGATCGTTGGGCTGCGACATGTTGCAGGGGAAGTGATAGACCAGCGATCGTATGCGCTGGCCCATGCCAATCAATTCGGATTGCGGATGCTGCTCTAGGCCCTGCAGATGAAGGATTCATTATTATAAGTTATGCATAACAATCTAAATAAAATAAACGAGACTTGGGCCTAGCTTTCTAAATGAACCATTCAACTACCGAGAAGTCTTTTCTGATTTGAGAGTCCAGCCCGAGTTCTACGCTTGTTTACCTTGTCTATGCTCCACGACAACATCGTCATAAACTGATAGATGTTATTGAAGCTATGCCAGGGCCGGAACTCGATGCCTCTCAGGTGCTTGCCGATGCGAGCCAAGCAGTTCTGTGTGCGCATATGGTCCAGGCAATATTGCCAGCCCGAGTAGTAATTGTACTTGGGTCGCGTGAGCGTGCGATCGTCGACCACGAAGTTGTTCCACACGGTGGGCAAATAGAAGGCGCTGTACCATTGCCGGCAAACCTGAGGAGGCAGTCAATGATTGAACGATGACAGCAGCGGCAGTGCACTTACCAGACTGGCGTAGTAGCGCTCTTTGGGTGAGAGGTAAGTGAATATTTCCTCCAATATCAGATTCGGCAGTTCGGACCAGCGGGAGTAAACGCGCTGCGATTCATCCAGTTTATCATTGGCATCCGCATCGTCATCCTCCTCTATATCTATATAACAGGCTGTACAACAGAGTGAAAGAGAGAGAGTTATGATAGTGTTGACATTTTTTTTTGCTTTTCGCTTCACCTTTCTCATTCTCATCGATCTTCCAGCCAGCCTTCTGCATAACCTCTATTTGGGCGCTGTTCTTGCGCCCAGCATTGATTGTGGACATGTTTTCCGAGTTTTATCTAGTATTATCTATATGGCTTCGCTATAGATTTGCATTAACATTTGTCTCATTTATTTACAACACAACAAGCGACACACAGCCACACACACACATTACGTTATTCGACTCTAATTTTGAAATTTTTGGCACCGATTGCTATTTATTTTTTTTCTTGTTTCTTTTTTTTTTTCTTATTTGTTGATTTTTTCTTAGACGCGATTTATTTTTATATAGTTGGGTTGGTTCGGCTCGCTCGGACGTCGCAGCGCGTCGCCTCGCGTTTGGGCAGCGACTGACACAGTCTTCAAAACTAATTCCTTCAATATTCTAAATGCTATTTTCGAAAACGAGAACGAAAACTTTCTGCAGATTCTTCGTCAAGTTTCGAAATGGTTTCATTATTTATTTTTTTCGCTCTCCCTCTCTCTTTCTCTCTCTCGCTCTGGTTGAGCCAAAGGGCCAACATTTTAGATATTGTTGTGCGTTTACTTACATATAGAAACTGTTTTCGCTTGATTTTCGTTGTTAAAATTAGACGGCCGGCTTTTGGGGGTGGCGGCAAGGTCTTAGGGCCGTCTGTGCCACACGCAACTGGGGCAACTTGTTGCGTCTGCCGCTGTCGCTACTGTTGCTGCTGGTGTTTTCTTACTTGTTGATGTGTTCATTATAAACAAACATTTCTCTCGATCGACTCGCATTATACACCATACGCAATGCGATCACCGATTGAATAAGAGTCTTACTCACTCTCTCTCTCTTTCTCTCTCTCTCTCTCTCTTTCTCTCTTTTCGAAGTACTTGCCATAACTAACAATTAGTTGAATTTCAGCCGATTGCTAAGCACCTAATTCAGCTTTAGTTAGTAATGTATGCATTTCTTTAAATATTTGGTTATGCGTAATAATAACAACTCCAAGCTGATAAGCTTAAGGCGAATGCAAAAATATACTTTATTTAATCATAAACGAAAATAAAATAAAAAACATATTTATTGGTAAGTCTATAATTATTTTAAGATAGTTTTATAAACTAGCTTGTAAACAATTTCGTCTCATTCGTCTTATTGGTAAGTCTATCATTATTTTAAGATAGTTTTATAAACTAGCTTGTAAACAATTTCGTCTTTTTACACTGTTTTTTCGAAGAAGCATTATTAAAGTTTTTTTACAGCTTCAGCTAGAATTACATTAATAACAAGTTTTGTTAAATTAGAATATAATTTATAAATATAAAAGCTTATTTAGTTGTATACACATTTTCATACATGTAAGCATTTTCTTACGTATATTGCCTCTATTTTCTCCAAGTATTTCCTCTCGAAGTCTTTAATGCTTAGCCCAACGATCACCCACTTCACATGACTCTACTGTACTGCTCTACTCTGCACTACGCTGCACCTAACGACTGACCTCGAACAGGTTAGGACGACTGAAGAAATGCTGAACTTGCTGCCCTTTATATAGGGCGACTTCTGCTCACTAAGTCGCTCAAATGTTGAGCCTGGCAACAGGTAGAGATCGAGGTTGCAGTCGAGCTGTAAATGACCAATGGGAACACTCTCTGCTGCTGTGAGCACTCTAGCTTCGTTCTACTCAAATATAAGTATGAACTGAACACTGTTGCATACAATAAGACAAGTGAAATGATTCTCTCTAGTTATTTCTCGTCCCTTTACTTAGGCAGACAGACAGAGAGACAGGCGATGTGATAGACAGGGAGACAGACAGGGAGATATACGAACAGATATTAATTACGCTGCTCGAAAACATATATGATTGATAAGACTAAACAGCTTATGTACATTAATATTTATAATTATTCGATGGCATACACAGCCACATCTTATATTATCGAGTACCCTTAAAGACTAGAGATTGTACGTAGTCTGCTTCAATTTCTGGGTATTCCATCCAAACTGTTTTTGGCTAAATCTAGACAGAAATAGGCCAAACCCTACTTAATGGCTTTATAAACTACCTAATAAAAGTCTTTGTATATTTTTATCAAAACGTTACATTAAAATATTGCTACAACGTTAGCTACAATTATATAAATGACAATATTTTTAAAATTATAAAAAAAATTTAAAAGAAATATTTAATATACATAACCTATAAATATATAAATCTTCTTACTGGTGAACCTGTAAATTCGCATTTTTATTTTTATTTATTTTTTGTTTTAAGGTAAAAATTGTGTGAAAAGCTACTTGACAATTCAGGCGAGTGCCTTTGACATTTGACACCACTTTGCACAGTGTCGGCAAAGAAGAAGAAGAAGAAGAAGAAGGAGAAAATGCCAATGTCCTTATGCTTCACATCTTTGTTATAGTTGTTGTTGCAGTTGCTGTTGTTGTTGCTGTAGTTTGTTGCCTTGACGATGCCAGCAAACTGCTGTTGAAGTTGCCCAGTGTACACTGGCCAAACGTGTCCAGTTGTCCGGCATGCCATTGCCATTGCCATCAAGGAAGCAACTACACACAGGCCATTGTCGTTTCCGGCAGCTACACTTAGCGGAAACAGCTGTTTATGTTGCGGTTCGGCGGCACACTGCGAGTTGGCGGTGGACTGAACTGGGCTGGGCTGGGCTGGGCTGGAGGAGCTGCAAAAATGTGCAGAGGCATTTTGCAATTTTCTTTGGCATATTTGTGCAAAGTGACCAAAAGCGACTTGGTTCCATTTTCATTTTGTTCTCTTCCTTTTGTTGTACTTTTTCTTTCACTCTTATTATTCGCTCAGCAATATCCGTTGCATACTCTTAGGATCAGCGCGTTTTTCGCGCCCGAGCACTTAAAAATATGCTGAATATTTTATAAGTCGCTGCCAGCTGAACGCTACGAGCTGCAACAATGTGCAATCGGGCTGTAATTAAAACAAATTTAAAAGCAGTTAACACACACACACATACACACAGACATGAACACACACTCACACACACACACACAGTGTACGCTCATTTCCGCATTCGGTTTGAGCACATCAAATATGACAGCAGCACAACATTTCGTCTCTCGTCCTCGCTAAATTTTGGCTATGCAAATTTGAATGTCAACAAAAACGTTGGCGTTTAACCCAAAAACCTGAT